CGGAGTGTGTGGATATTATCCACTTCTCGCACCAGAGGGCTTCACTGCAGTTCAATTCTGATGCTAAGGATCTCTTGGCAGTGCTGGAGAGCAAACCGAGGTCACTGAATAGCAAGTTAGGGCAAACCCTCTACCACTGAGCTACACCCTTGCCTGCGTCCATGCTAATCATCTTGATTTAACACAGATGCCAGCTTAAGGGCTCAGTACCACAAGCCTGCCCCCTCTCAACAACAGTCATAAGGCTCAATTTACAACTGGACTCTGACCAAGCAGCTATAAATTGCCAGTTCCTGCAACACCCATTCAGGTTTAGTAATTCCTTAGAATAGCTCACAGACCCCAGGAAAGCAGCTCTGTCACTGGGTCAGTGGCTGCGGGGGCCTTAAACTGCTGTGGCAAAGTTCCTGACAGAAGCCACTGGACGAAGGAGAGGGATTTTTGGCTCCCAGTTAGATGGCACAGCCCATGGTGTTGAGGAAGGCTGGTGGATGCAGAGGCTCCATCGGCGGCGGCAGCAGGAGCTTGCAGTATCACACCCTGGACCAGAGCTGGACCAGAGCTAGACCAGAGCTGGGCAGTAGCCTGCCCCCATCAGTGAAATCCCATGTTTCAAAGGTCCCATAACCCCCCAGAATCACACCACCACTTGGGGAGGCCCAAATGTTCAAACTAGACGTCTCTCACTCAGACACCATTCGCTCCAAAACAGGCAAATCGAAGAGATGTACAGGACAAGGTGAGAGGTCATGGGGAACAAGGAGCTTCCAACTTCCCTTTCCCAGCATGCCACCTTCCAAACCACCCCAGTGTGTTCAGGAACCCAGAGATTTCCAAATCCCATTATTGGGGGAGAGGGCAGGTATGGAGACTCCACTGCACAGACACGATTTGTTTCATCTTCGGCCTTTGGTGATGGAATCTGATCCCCATTCCCCACCCCCCGGAGGTTGGGGGTGGAGACTGAGAATCGTAGCCCTTTAACCACATGGTTGGCCCATCCTGAAGCTATCTAGGGGCCCCACCAAGGGTCATCTCCTCAGCAGAAGCTTAGATGTGGCTAACAGAAGCATGCTATGAATGTCAGAAGATGTTCCTCTTAACCCCACCACTGAATGATGCAGGGTTAGTTCAACACACAACATCAATAAAAGTAAATCACATAAACAGACTTAAATACAAATGACATGATCTTTTTTTTTTTTCGGTTTTTCGAGACAGGGTTTCTCTGTGTAGCTTTGTGCCTTTCCTAGAACTCACTTGGTAGTCTAGGCTGGCCTTGAACTCACAGAAATCCACCTGGCTCTGCCTCCCAAGTGCTGGGATTAAAGGTGTGTGCCACCAAGCCTTTGACAAAATCCAATAGGCTTTCTTTTTTTTTTTGGTTTTTCGAGACAGGGTTTCTCTGTGTAGCTTTGCACCTTTCCTGGATCTCGCTCTGTAGACCAAGGCTGGCCTCGAACTCACAAAGATCCGCCTGCCTCTACCTCCCGAGTGCTGGGATTAAAGGCGTGCGCCACCACCGCCCGCCAATAGGCTTTCACGGTAAAAGTCCGAGAGAGAGCGCAGGACCTCAACATACTAAGAGGCCTGTATGACAAACCCATAGCCGACATCCTAAACAGAGAAAAACTCAAACCAATCCCGTTAAAACCAGGGAGGAGTCAGGGCTGTCCACTATCCCTGAGTTCTGAGAGCTTCTGAAGCTGTGCCTGGAATTGGGAACCCAGTCCAAGACTATGACTCTTTTTTTTTTTTAAATGCCAAATGCCATTTATTGAAGGAGGGAAGAGGTCTTAAATACAGACTTACAGCACAATGGGAGAACCCCGGAGGGCAGAAGTTCGCTACCAATGTTTTACAATCTTACATCTAAGCTGTTAATGCCCATTATGCAGGATATACAGACAAGGATCTTCCCTTAAGCATTCAGGAGGGTGGAAACCTGCAGGGAATTAGTATAGGGAGGATATCAAGGTCAAGGTCAGCAAGCAAGGCAACAGTTACTCAAAACAGGGGCCAGGGCCCTATAGGTCTCCCTTTTACTAAAAAATGAGCTTCTGACTTAGGTTGCGTGGGATGTCAGCAGGTCACCTTACCCATCAGCAGGTCACCTTACCCGTCATGGAGACGCCTGCCCAGGCCACACAGGCGCTGTGTCTTAGGTTGGTGAGCGCCCCCCAGGCATTACCCGTCTCTGAATACTCATTATCATACAGGCTCAATCGTGTGTGAGCTGCAGAATTAACTGCTGCCAAAGATCTCAAAGTGGCGCTGGGCTTGCAGTCTGTGTGTTTGATACAGAAAAGACCAACAGAGGTCCTAACCCACCCATAGCCAGTAGGCTAAAGGCAACTGAGCCATTCCCTTCCTTAATGAGCCTTACTGCAAATTGGAGTCCTTGTAAGATGGTATCCCAAAAGCAAATGGAACTTGAGTTTATAAATTTATAATTTTCAAAGCCAATCAAAATGTATATAACTATTGAATTAAATTTATCATGTCCAATAGAATGAAAGATTAACTAACTGTGGTAGCTACTTTTGCTGCCAGGGTCTCCACTGTGCTAGCTGTAGTAAGCAATTGTGAAATGGTAATCCCAGAAACAGTAGCAGTGGTGGCTGCCACTGCTATAACAGCAACAATGGCAGCAGCAATGTCAAATTCTCTTCTGGAGCGTGTGGGCATCCACTGGCATGGATACAACTCCAGGAACACAAACCGCCAAGGCCCATTTTTCTTGATCCCAGCATGACTTAATCTGGCAGCTCTGCAAAAGAAAAACTAAGAGCCATAAAGAAAAAACAGGCAGCTCACAAGGAGCATAACTAATGGTCTTATAATGGCTACATTCAGGCTCATAAGTTTTAAGGTATCTTCAAAGGGGGGCTAAATGAATTTCAAGAGGCCAATAAATGTTGCACAGAGCCACTCCTGAAAAGTAGGTACTACACCAGCTTGAAGAGGATTGTGAAAATAAAAGGCTTAGCTGGCATGCTACTGTTAACAAATGGAGGTCAGTGACCTTCAGGGTTATCCTTAATCTCCAAGGTGTCTGGGTGACATGTTCTCAAACATACTTGATAAAGCAGTTACTATACATTGCCTTCTGGAGAATCCAAAAGAATCCATTAAGATAAGAATATACTGTATCAAACTGATAATAGAAAAATTAATTAATTAAAAAAAAAGAAAAGAAAAATTTGAACTATTAAAAAAATCCAAACAAACATATTTTACTAAAGCAAAAAAAGGGGGAACTAGGGACTCATCATTCCTCTCCACATTCTATTCTTTCCCTTGTTTTATATATTTTAAATTTTTTATCAGTGGATTCTGCTGGAGTATCCGCTGCAGATAAGCACTGGAGGGCTCCTGTTGCTAATCACCCTCTGGAGCGATGGAAGGATCATTCTACTGGCACTTGGAAGAGACCCGATCTGGTGTTGGTGTGGGCCCGGGGTTCTGTTTATGTCTCTCCTCAGGACAATGAGGTTCCTCTTCGGATTCCTGAGCACTGAGTGCACCCTGTGGCTGCTGCTGAAGCCCAACATGGCAGAGACCTATTGGGCCTTCATGAAAAACTCTCCCCTTCTGACGCCAATGGGGATTGAGAGCCCAATATGGCCAGCTTTGGCAAGCATTAACGTAAGCCTAAGACTACGACTCTTAACGGTATCCCAATTACTCTCCCACGTGGTAAGCATCGTGTTCACTCCTGCAGGGTTTTGACCACTTCTGTACCCCCAGACCAACAGGATGGAGTTGTCTGCAGTGCCCACGAGTTCCTGCTTCCCACCACTTCCCCCATGTGTTGCCTGTGATGCAGAGACACCAAACCACATTCCGTCCCTAGACTGAATCTTCCTTCTCAGGCACTGAGAAACTTAAGTCAGTCTGAATTCTCCCTCGACCTCTCCACTGATGAACTAAGTTCTAAACAATGGACTCTGAAATCTGCATTTTACAGCGGTGGGCTCTGCCTCCTCCTCTCAAGTTCCCACCCTCCTCTGTCTCTGCCCTTTCTTTCGCTTGTGCCTTCTGGCCCACAAATAGGGAGCTATTCTTTAAAACCCAGAGGAAATGTTACCTGCGCCATGGGACTGTCTCAGGTTTCTGTGTTAGCCTCTCCCTGCGTTCCACAGCCCTCCTTCGTGACCCCCTCCCAGAAGTTACAGGTTCTTAACCATCTCTGTATACTCCGTGGAAATTAGCAAAAGAACTTTGCATTTAAAGAGGACATTCCTTGTATCAAATAGAACCCAAGCGGTGTTCTATTTGAATTCTGGGGTTGCTTTGTATTTCTCTATAAGAAACCTTCTGCTTACTAAGCAAGCTCCATCGGGGCTAGCTCCAGGAGAAAGGGAGATTTCAGCTCATTGCTTACAGAAGGTGTTCTATTGTCTTAAGCAAAGGAGAATGGGGAGAAGACTGCCACACTTGAATGATGAAGGAAGGAAATGAACCAATTCCTGCTTTGGGGAAGTATAAAACAGCTGTGCACCCAGCTGTAGGGGAGAAAACAATGAGAAAAAAAATGATGAACTGCGTGTGCTGAAGCCACAGTGCATTTTCCAGAGAGATGAGAGACTGTCCCCTCACTATTATTATTTGCATGCTCTGTCTGGAAATGCTGCTTCGGGGCCCTGACTGCATGGGAGGGGGCACTGACTGCATGGGAGGGGAGCCCTGACTGTATGTGCCCCCACCCCCCGACTGCATGGGAGGGGAGTGCTCCAGGGAATATTTTATGCAGAAAATCATTAACTTCCTAGGCATGAATATCAACCATGGCTTCCCCAGGAATGGAAACATCCCTTTTTTAGTCTGAGAGTTTACCTTCTAAAAATTACCAACCCCGTGATTCAATAAGACGGCCATCATCATTTAAAGAAATACTTGTCAATATTTTTTTTTCTCCAAAAGAGAAGTCTGTTGCCATTATGTTCAGTTTATTGTTTCGGTGGAAACAGCTCTTTAATAAAATAAATGTAATATTGTCAAATGATGAATAAAATGAGGTTTGTCCCTAGTTCAGCAGACAGAATTGAAGTAACAATCGATTTAATTAGGCAAACAGGGCATGTCAATGGGGCTTCCTGAAGCCTTGTAAAATGTAACGTAGAGAAAGCAAGTCTATCTAGCCTGTATTTACAGTTGTGGGAGTTATACAATCGCTACATAAATATTCATTGAGATTCTTGAGTGAAACCAGGTACAAATGAAGTAAGGGATGCCAGACATCGGATTTCTGTCCCGGGGGGATGAGGAGCTAGTCCTTCGTCCTGCACATCACTGCACGTCCCAGATCTCACAGAGGAGTGGGGTGAACTTGTGGTCATTCACTCTCCAGGACATCAGCATCTCAGCATGGTGGTGATTGAATGTCCGAAGTTCCGTCAAGCGACCCAGGAGGCAGGCAAAATGCTGAGGGTTCTCGGGCTGGTGAATCTTGCACAGTTTCTGTAGCACGTCAAGCAGGGGTTCCTGAAGCTTCTCCACTGCCTCTCTGTCCTTGATGTATTGTCTGTCTATTTGGGCGTATTTGAAATAAAACAGCAAGGTAAAAAAGTGAAAAATCACCGATTGCACATAATTATGGCAATGGCTAAGCTTTTGAAAATGTATGTCTATAAATGTTGCATGCTTAAATGTACAGAATTTTCAGTGTGATAGTTACATGCATGTACACACACATGCATAAAAACATACATTCACCGGGTGGTGGTGGTGCACATCTTTAATCCCAGCACTCGGGAGGCAGAGCCAGGCGGATCTCTGTGAATTCGAGGCCAGCCTGGGCTACAGAGTGAGTTCCAGGACAGGCTCCAAAACTACACAGAGAAACCCTGTCTTGAAAAACCAAACCAACCAAACAAAAATATATACATGTATATACAATGGACTTACATGTAAACCAAGATATGGAACATCAGAAGTTCCCCTAAACTCCCTTCCCAATGAAATCCCTTGAAGGAACCCCACATAACGGGTGTAAACATTCTGTCTCAGGGGGACATCCCCAGACTTCCTGGGCCATAAGGGATCTTCATGTGTTCCTCTAGGAAGCTCTGCCTAATAAGTTTTTTTCAGTCACAATTATTAATGCCCAAAGAGTAGCAACTAGCATCTGCCTAATTATCACATATGAAAATCATTTAAGGCTAGTGCAATATGTTTTACAAACTATGAGCACAGTATTATTTGCACCCAAATTACTAAAGTCAGTTTTGAAAATACGTTTCAGGCTGGAGAGATGGCTTAGCCATTAAGAGCACTGGCAGTTTTTCCAGAGGTCCTGAGTTCAATTCCCAGCAACCACATGGTGGCTCACAACCATCTGTAATGAGATCTGGTGCCCTCTTCTGGCCCATAGGCGTACATGCAGGCAGAACACTATATATAATAAATAAATCTTAAAAAAAAAAAAAAGGAAGAAAATTTCCTACATGGAGATATTCATTTCTACAATTTTTAAAACAAGAAAATTGGAAACACACAGCTGTACAGACACAATAAAGATTAAGTATATCTTTGTAGAGTCATAAAATGAAACATAATGCAGACCTGTTAATAAAAGTCTTTTAAAGAATTTTTTAAAGGATGAGATCTTTGCTATGTTATAACATATACAATTTCTTCAATATCCCTGCTCAAGTGTCAGCCTCTGCAAAGAATCTTCCCTAACAACTAACGAACATCCCATTCAGTCTCTTCTCACCTTCTTACCATATATTCTCATTGTTATAATGTTTTTGAGATGAATTCTCACTGTATAGCCCAGGCTGAGCTCAAGTTTGTACTTCTCTATCAGCTCTCAGGCACAGAAATTATGGACATGGGGTCACTTTGTCTATTATTATTACATATTTCGTAGAATTTTCCACTTGCTGAAAAAAATGTGTTATCTTCCTTTCTCTTTGAGAACAAGTCTCCTAGAAGTGGTATCCAATTTACTCCTAAAATCTAGAGCCATATTCACTATGTAGGAAATGTTCAATAGGCAGCTACTAAAACCATGAGAATAATATTTTTTAAAAATACTGAAAAAAAATTAAAATATTAATAATGTTCTATTTGAATAGTAGAATTATGGACCATTTTACTTTGTATGCCTTTGTGTATTCTGTAATAAACATTGTTATGACTATACTGTTGTGGAATATTATTTTAAGATGTGTTACATTTGTTTATGCTCTGGAACATTCGTTAAATGATACAAAGATGTGCTGCATTCTTTTATGATGCATTTGTTTAACTCTGTGAAGCTGTGTTACTTTGCTTGTCTAAAACACCTGATTGGTCTAATAAAGAGCTGGACAGCCAATAGCAAGGCAGGAGAAAGGCTAGGTGGGGCTGGCAGGAAGAAAATATAAATAGAAGGAGAAATCTGGGAAGAAGAAGATCAAGGAGCAAGAGAAGGAGGAGAGAAGGACATCAGGGGCCAGCCACCCAGCCACACAACCAGCAGTGGAGTAGGAAAGAAAAAAGGTATATAGAAAGATAAAAGCCCAGAGGCAAAAGGTAGACAGGATAATTTAAGAAAAGCTGGTTAGAAACAAGCCAAGCTAAGGCCAGGCATTCATAAGAAAGTAAAAGACTCCGTGTGATTTATTTGGGAGCTGGGTGACGGGCCCCCAAAGGGTCAAAGAGCTACGAGCAAGAAAAAACCACCCGCTACACGATACGGAGAATGAAGAAAGCAGTACAAGAATCCAAATGTCATAGTAAACTTACCTGGAGAGAGGATGACAATTGCCGTCAGCAAGGCGTACTCTTCCTGAGTCATTTTCAGTTCCCCAACACTCTTATAAAAACTAAACATCGGAGTTATATATTCATCAGAGATGCCTGTGGAGGAGTTGAAAAACCACAGTTACAGTAAAAGGCTCTTAATTTTAGTTATTATCATCGTAGTGAGTGAGTGAGTGTGTGTGTGTGTGTGTGTGTGTGTGTGTGTGTGTGTGTGTATGCATGTTGTGGTCAGGGTACAACTTCGTGGAGCTGGTCCTCTCCTCACATGGATTCTAGCAATCAAATTCATGTCACCAGGCTTGTGTAACAAGCACCTTTACCCTCAGAGCCATCTCACCAGCCCAACAAAAGTTGTGAGTGACTGAAGAACCGGCTCACTCACACTTGCCCCCAGCTACATACATTCATTTAGTTATAGTGTATTAGACATCTCAGCCAAAGACAGAGTATGTAAGGAAAATCTTCAAAGGACAGCCTCACGTCTGATGCGTTTGTCTTTGAATTCAGTATTGTCTTTGGCCACTGGTGTATAACAATAAAGGAAAATGCTCTTGGGCTAGAAAAATTCCTATAACTGCACCATTTTCTGGGTGGGGCCTGTTACTTTAAACAATATCCATAGATACACTCAAGACAGAGAGCAGCTTAAACAATGAACAAAAAATAGTTGTGCTTCCGTTCCGAAGCATAACCAGTTACACGGAATAAGTTGGCCGGAGTTGAACGGATTTGGACCTACCTGAGGTACCCATTGCCTACCATGCACTAATCAGTATGGGACCACTTTTTAAAAACTCAGGACATCAAATATGATAGATGCCAGGTAGGGACCAAACCTCCCAACTTTCTCCAAACCCACCCCCCCTTCCTGATGTCTCCGTCCTCAGTGACAGCTACACTTGCCACCCAGTTGCCCAGACCGGCAGCTGGGATTCTGTGTGGGGTCCTGCAACCCTACCCTCTCCCCCTTACGCCGTAGTGCCTTGCCTTCATAGCTCTGGGCACTGAATTAGTTTCAGCCACCATCTCTCATTATCTGGGGCACAGCAATTGCTTCCTCTCTCCTGTCTTTTATTCCTCTTCAATCTGTTCCCTATCCAGATGCTGGAATAACCTTCTGAACTTCAGATCACATACTTTCTCCTCACTTTTTACACACCTTCAAAACCTGTCTATGGCTTTTGCTGTATGTGTGATTTTTTTTTTTTAAATGGGGACCTGTGCCTCTCGGAGTTTGTGTTTCCTGAGCTCTGTGGTAGGTACTTCTTGGCCACTCCTTTTAAATTGAGTGTGTCAAATATCAAAGACACCAGGTAAGAACCAAATTCTCAGCTGGGCAGTGGTGACACATGCCTTTAATTCCAGCACTCTGAAAGCAGAAGCAGACGGATCTCTGTGAGTTCAAGGCCAACCTGGCCTCTGGAGCAAGTTCCAGGACAGTCAAGGCTGTTACACAAAGAAACCCTTCCTTGAAAAAGAAAGAAAAGAAAGAAAGGAAAGGAAGGAAGAGAGGGAAGAAGGGAGGGAGGGGAGAAAGAGAGAGAGAGAAAGAAAGAAAGAAAGAAAGAAAGAAAGAAAGAAAGAAAGAAAGAAAAACTAAAACCCAACCACCTTCCTCTAAATCCACCCCTTTCCTGCTGTTTCTTCATTCAGCTTTCTAAAATCCCACAAGCTCAGGGTATCTCACCCTTCCTAATGCTATGACCCTTTAATACAGTTCCTCATGTTGTGGTGACCCCCAACCATGAAATAATTTCGTTGCTACTTCATAACTCTAATTTTTCTCCTGTTATGAATCATAATGTAAATATCTGACATGCAGGAGATCTGATGTGTGACCCCTTGTGGGGGTCATGACCCACGTGTTGAGAACCCCTGCACTACCTGCTTATAGAAAAGTCGGTAACCGGCCCCAAGAGACACAGTTAGTGAGAGGCGGTGCAGGACTCAAACCAAAGTTGGCAGGCCTTGACTCAGTTTCCCCTGCTTTTCGATCAGTTTTCCTGCAACCGGGTTCAGCCACTTCGGTTTCCCTCAGCAATTCCATTTTCCCAGTCTCTGTACACACATGATTGTCTCTTCTTGGAATACCTTAATTCTCTTTGTTAACTTAATTAACTTTGTAATTCTGGTTTATAATTTTAAGACTTCTTGTGCCATTTTTTTTTCTACTCACTAAAGAAAAAATATTGGTTTGGAGCTTGTTGCATGCATGGTTTTATTCCAGAGGAGCGTGGCCTAAGGAATCAAGGAGACAGGAGAGAGTTGGCTAGGACCCGCTGACGAATGGAGATGAGGATGAGCATGTCCGGACTGGTCCACGGGAGAATCCCCTGCTCTCTTCCTTTCTACACCACATCTAGAGCCACAGAGTTCTGGCTGAGCCAAATGAGAATACAGGTGGATCCCCGGCACTCCAGAGTACCGCTATCAACTGGCGGTACGCTTGATAGAAAGTCGCTTTGTCAGCAAGCCAAATCCTCACCTTTGGGAGAGTTCGACGTCTCTTCCGAACTGAGCCCTTGGCCTTTCCCAGCGATTCAACAGAGTGCTCCCCTCTCCTCCGTGCACTTCTGATCGCGTTCTTGACCCCGGTGGACTCTCTCCACAGCAGAGTCTTTGTTTAGCAAGTGGGTGATTACATCACATGGAAGAATGCCCTTTTGCCAGCAGCTACAGAACTGAGTTGAACACCCATGACCAAACTAGAAACTACTTAAAAGGACTGGGGCGTGAGCCTGGGAATGCGGCTCACTGCTTCCAACACAGGGTTAGAGGTTGTGAGGTGACTTGTGACGTTGAAATCAGATGCCCTGATATGGTCTTGAGCACGTAAAACTTTTGACGCCACGGTTTTCTCATCCGTGAAATGTGTTGTACAATGATAGTATTATATAAGATGATGCAGAGTATTGACTGCAAAGCTGCCTCACAGTAAGACCTCAGCGGTGGGGCAGCCCTGTAATCCCCATTCCCTGGGAGGCTGAGGGAGAAAGAGAGCGAATGCATGAACTGCCTGAGCTACAGAGTAAGTCCGAGGCGAGCTGGGCAACTATGAGAGCCGAAAGGCACCTACAGAGACCCACAAGTGGCCAAATGCAAAGAGTGACTGTGGTGAGTCCTGTTGGGAGTCCAGCACCGGTGGTACATCTGCAACACTACCCCTACACCCAAGGCTCAGGGAAATTCCAGGAGCCAGAGGGCCGGAGGGACAGCTTTGTGACAGTGTCTTCTAGTGTGGCAGGGGCTCCGCACCCATGCAGTCTCAGTGATACGGCTGCCTACCTAAGTTCTGTGTAGAGACCACGTGCCAATGTGCATGTGGGAAATTCCACAAGTCTCCACCCTAGATGAGTTACTGGTAAGAGAGGGAGAGCCCATCCTCTCCAGGGATGAGCCCCCTGATCGGCTATCTGATCCCACACACCTAGGAGCGACACTAAATGAACACAATAGATGTTAAAGAAGAGGAGGCCTTGGATTCACGGGGGAGGGGACACAGGAGCTGGAGAGGGGAGGGTGAGTGAACTGACACAAAAAATAACCTTAAAATAATAAAAATCAATTTCAAAACAGTAAAAATACAGCTGGGGAAAGCATTTGCCTAGAGTGGGAGGCTCTACATTCAATCCTTAGGACTGCAAAAATAAAAATGAATAAATAAGAAAAGAGACATACTATTTGCCATTGTTATGCAGATTAACTGCGTTAACAAACTTATCATAACCCTTGTCTATTTCAGTCTAGATTAAATTTGTAATCTTCTGCCTCTACAAAGCTATATATATTTTTTTCTTAATTTCCTGTGCGTGTGAGGCGGAGTAGGGGTGCCACAGAGCCCATGAGGAGGTCAGAGGACAACTCTGGGGTTCAGTTCTTTCCACCGTGTGGATCCGAAGGATCAAACTCGGGCCATCAGGCTTGGCAGCAAGAGTCTTAATCTGCTGAGCCATCTTGCCAGGCCAGTATGGTGTGTGTGTGTGTGTGTGTGTGTGTGTGTGTGTGTGTGTGTGTGTGTGTGTTTAAAACGTCATTTTGGTTTTTTGAGACAGGGCCTCTCTACCCAGCCCTAGCTGTCCTGGAACTCACTATGTAAACCAGGCTGGCCTCTGCCTCCCAAGTGTGGGGATTAGAGGCCTGTCCCACACACCCAGCTAAAAAATCATTTTACTTTTTACTCGGGATGAAAACAACTTATCTGATCAGTGATGTGCCTTAGCATTTTTCCAGACATTAAAGCCATACAAAGGTTTGTAACTTTTTCTTTTTACTAAAGATTTTTTTTTTTAACCTTCAATAATTAGCAGTCTTAGCTGTAAGCGGACTTCTATGCCTCTAATCCTAGCACTTGGGAGGCTGAGGCAGGAAGATGCTGAGGTCGGGGCACAACCCAAGACACACAGCAAGACCCTGTCTAAAATCAAGAAAGGCCTCTTCCACATTCAGGGTCTGTACCCATCAGGAAAAATCAGCTAAAGTCATGACTGGGCCACAGCTTTTTTTTTTTTTTTATCTTTTAAAAAAGAACCTCAGTAAATTCTTAAAGGTTTTTAACTTTTCTAACAGTTTTATGTGCAATGATTAATTTTTATTGAAATTTCTCCAAAACACATTTGAGTTAATTGGCCTGACTACCAACATAATGTGTTTCTAGCCAAACTATCTTCATGGTGTTAGCAGTGTGTGTGGAGTGCGCATGAATACACTCTCTACTTCCCACCCCTGTGTCTTCACTGCCAGCGTCTGTAGATATCATTAAGGAGACCAGAGACCAAGTAAGGAAATGTCACAGAAGGACATGCCATATAGCTATGTGTTTGTTAGAGAGTTGCTCGTTCTATCTGCTACTGATCACACATACTTTTGTTCATTTCGAATGACTCAACTGTGGTGAATGAGCAATTGCATTTTTATTATTTTGAATCACTGACTTATTTATGAATGACTGATTCGTCCCAGGAAGTTGCTTTTGAAGAGAACTGATCTGTGAACAGATGTCTCATGAAGCGTGTGTGGCTCGTTTCCTTGGAGCACGTAACTAGAGGCCAAACACCTAGACGGGAGACGAGGATAAATCCTTCGTTGTGAGTCGTAAA